TTAAATGTGTTTTTTGGTTGTGGGACAGCAGTTTGCACCAATTCTGTAGAATGGCCCATATAGCGATAGCCAATTTTTTAAATATTTATTTTATTTTTTAAGCAAGAGACAAGAAAGAATGAAACTATTACTACATGAACAAGATGTTTATTTGCTTTGTCTTCAGCGCCTCTGGTAACGGCCGTTTGCAGACTTCGTAATATTTGCACACAAAGGACATTTTGGAAAATGATTGCAATGCAGTTTGTTCAAGTCCAGAACAGAGAGAGTCTGAAATGAAACAAAAAATGGAAAATTTGAGTGGTTTTCAAATCGCGGTATACCTTGAAACTGCTAGTCAGTCCATCATGCCTCAAACTGAATTGCAAAAATAATGAGCGTTTTCAAACAGTCCCACTGCACGCCTCCTGTCTTCTGTTGTTCAGATTGATGTTCGTCTCCAATTGACGCAAATTGTTAGAGCCAGATGTTGATATTTGATATATGTTGTTGGATTGGATATAATTTTTTTTACCTTGTGAAAAATTACAAACTCAAAACTTTTAAATCGTTTATCATGAATGTAACAAAACTGAAGTATATCATTAACAATTAACAATAATTTTTCATGATACAATGTTCAGATTCAGGAATTTCTTAAGTCTTAGAATCAGATTAAATGTTCTGTATTTCAAATATACCCCAAAGTCTATGCATTTTCTTAGCCTTCTGGGAAAAGACCTTTTGCAAAACGATTTTATAATAAGAAAATGAAAACAAAGATTGCATTTAAAAACCAAATTGCAATTGTTGTTCATCTAGAAATTTATGAAATGTTGTCCAGTACTGTTAATTATGTAATTGCAATATAATTGCAGATATTTTAAATCTTTACTACTTTCACCTGTATTTTCTTAAACATTTACACTAAAACTTCAATCTAGAATTTTTTTGCTCCAGGTAAAAATCTGGAATCAGAAAGTTTCATTGTATCCAAAAACGTTTGAAGAAAAAAATAACTGTTCAGTATGTTTTAGAATGAATTAAATACCATTTAATACTGGCCATATAATACTGGGCATTTAGTGGTCTATTTAAAGTGCGTTTAAATTGAATTGATGAAATGAAAATATTTTTACAAACCATTCAGTCAAAATTCAAATATAGTTTCATCCTTCTTTTGTTGTTTGTTTAGCAGAAAGTGGAAGTGTATCTTTGAAACTCAGATTTTATTTTACAACCAGCACACAGAATCACACGCGCACACACACACACACATAAAAAAATGTACTAGCCAATGGCGATTCAATTGCCAAGATGTTCGTAGAGGGCTGTTTTTACTGCTATCTGAGCATGAGAAACTACATTTATGAGACAGTTGTTGTCAGATTTGATTGGTGATATCAAATATGAAGTTTAATCGGAAGCGTGCTGAACAGAATTTGATGTTCCCCATTCAAAGACACAGGAGCGCTTGTGTGACTCAAATAGCCGCCCGAGAAGGGTTTCAAAGATGGCCGCCAAGTGAAACGACTTGCCTTTGGTAACATGCACATAGAAACGTTTCGGCTGATGAAACATGAAGACAATACACACAATTAACATGAAATCCAAACACGATTCCAACAATATATGGTTAATCTGTGTTCAAGCCATCTTGTGCAGTTTCATAAGAATAAGCAATTTTGTGTTTTGTCTCATTCTATGATAATTAGTCACATCGGGTCTCTGAGGTTATTTTAAGCACTCGACTGATGTGCTGTCGTTTAATTTTGGAGCAAAACATGGAATTAATCTCATAAATTGTCATGTTTTGATGCTGTTAAGCTAATGCTTGCTAGCCCTTATGCTCCTGTTGTCAGAACATTGTTGAAAGACTGTTTAAAAGCAAATCCACATAAGATCATTAGAATGTATCTTTTTTTTTTTTTTTTTTTTTTTTTTTTTTTTTTTTTTTTTTTTTTTTTTTTTTTTTTTTTTTTTTTTTTTTTTTTTTTTTTTTTTTTTTTTTTTTTTTTTTTTTTTTTTTTAAGAAAGACTTTTCATACAAAGGCCAAGAAGGTGAATAAGTTTGGTCCAAGAAATTCGGTTTAAAAACGTTCTCTCCCGCAGTCATCAACATGCACGCCATACTGCCGTCACATCACCCAGAAATCACATGAAATGATCAAATAAAGCTTTAGCGGGACAAAGATTCATTTTGGTGGCTGACAAAATATTTCCAATGCAGGAAACCCCTGTTTAGGTCAAAGTTCATGAGTTCCACAGCAGACAGAAGCACAGCGTGTCTAGACGTTTGCTAAATGGAAATTTAACGAGAGCCAAGTCTGATTAATAACTCTTCACTCCCATCCATCAAACTAGCCAACGTCTCATCATATAGTACAAGAGTTTTATCACGGGGAAAGTTTTTTTTTTTTTTCTTTTAGGTGAGAGATACTGTACAAGTTGTAACAAAACCCATTAAAGAACAAATTCTCGTTGTTGTATAGTTTTGTTTAGCACCTTTTAAAACTCCTGTCTGAGATTCTGCGTTCTGATGGGATTCATGCACATTTATAGTTAGTTGGTTAAAGTGAAAATGAAAATCTGTCATTTACTCACCATCATGACATTTCAAACCCATCTGATCTCAACAAGGATAACTAACTCCTAAAACTCATGGTCCACCTGAGAAATAATGGCATACGACATGAAGAGTAAATGATGACAAGCTTTTCACTTTTTGGAGAAGTGTTCATTAATTTAAAAATCTAGTTTAAATGTGCCAAGTTCTTACAGTACTTTTTTGTGTACTTTCTTTGGAGTCATTTTTCCAGCTAAAGTCAGTTCATTGATGATTCAGTTCATCATCATCCAGTTCAGCTCTCTTCCAATAGTGTCTGTGCAATCAGTCAAGCGTCCCCAACTAAGCAAGCCGAAGGTGACAGTGGCAAGGAACCGAAACTCCATCTGTGACAGAAATGGAGAAAAAACCAGGCTCAGTCAGGCGGCCAGTTCTTCTCTGGCCAGGCGAAACCAGCATGGTGTGGTTTAATTCCAGCCTGCAACGCAGGTGCAGAGGACTGCCGATGGTTGTCGAGGTGATGAGGTCTTCACAGGGGATCTGTCTCTGGGACGTTTTTTTTCTTCAGTGCAATATCACCTTATTTTATGCCACCAAAAAATAAAATTAATAAATTATAATTCAGAAGCTGAAAACATGTTTATCATCGTAGAGGTGTAATTACATCAGTTTGTATGAAATTGATTTTTGTGGAATTTTATAAATAAATTAATAGATCCAGATGCATAAATGAGCATCATGTCATTAACCCTTGTATAGAATTTTCAATTTGCAGGTAAATTCTTTGGAGAAATCCAGTGATGGTTGTCATTTGCGTGTGTGGCGTGTGGTACACACTTTAAGACTGATTCACCGGGGGAATATTATGACAGGCAGCAGAAGCAGAAAGTGCGTGTGTGTGTGTGCGCATGTGTTTGTCTCCATAGGCCAGTGCTGTGCCTTCACTAAACTGTCCTCCCCCAGATGCTATTTATAGTAAGAGTCCACCTCAGAGACATCGGCAAAGAAAAAATGCATCTGTGATTAAACTGAGCCTTTCTCTGTCTCACGCTCTTATACACAGTGTCCTTTGCTTCCCCTCTTTTAGCATTTTCTCTTGCTATTTATATTGCTTTTCTTGTTCTTCAAATAGTATTTCTTTCCCTTACGTCAGACCCGGTGTGTGTTTCTCTGTCCAAGAGCCGCTACATTCACCTACAAACACCTGAGTGTTTCTGTGCTGCGGTTTGGACGTCTGTGGAATTTTTTTTTTTTTTATGGTAACAGCAAGGCATTCCTTCACGTACTTTGGAGTACCATTGAAATACCACAGTATGTAAATAAAGCATTTAAACGGTACAATGGTATACTGAAACACCATAGATACCATCACTGTACTGTATCAGTAGCAGGGTTATTACAGTGAACTAAAACCAAAAAATCACTTCAAATATATACATTAAAATAAACATTAACTGAAATAAAATAAAATAAAAACTTAAACTTTTATTTCAGCTACCTGTCAAAGAAACCTTTCTTATTTAGCTTGTTGTAAAAGTTGTTTTCTTTTTTCCCTCCCTTCATACTTTTTAAACATGCATGTTTCTGAAGGGATTTATCTCTGTCTTTTTCCATTTTCAACTCTTTCTGTGACTTTTTCACATTACAGTAATTAGTAGGTGTGTAGCAATTCACTTATATGGAATGAAATATCAACTTGTGAATCAAATCTTTTTTAAATGCAAACAAATCATGATTCATCCAATTTGCTCGAACCAATTATATTTGGACCGGTTTGATTCAGACATCCGGTCACATCTATTGTCACGAAAGTCCATCAGGATAATCATCCCAAAATATGCTCCGTTTTCATAATGCAAATATAATGATTGTAAGGTGAAATATGACCCGACCATTTCTGGCTGCCGTTCTCCCAGATTGTGAACCGTCCCTCATTATGATTTACTTTTCCACCTGTTGGGAATGAGCAGATATGTTTGTCTTTTCTCCAGAGCATTCAACTGTTACATTCCTGGTTTTACAATTCCACCTCGTTCCCTTCTGTTCTGACACGTCCTTGTGTAGTTGTGCCGTATGGAAGAGCAAACCGCCGGAACTAGTTTAATCCTCACCGTTGCACTACTAGTTTCAGAGCCCCGAGCCATACGACCGTGTGCTGATCGACGTGTGAACCTCGGACTCTTTCCTGCTCCGGTTAGACATTCAGCTTAGGTTTTGCGCGCTTTATGATTTCGAATGAATTCCCGCTTTTACGATGTTTATCAAATATTCATGAATAAAACGTGATGCTCTCCAGATGCTGCACTCTTGAGTGTTCTGGATGTGGACTCTGTGTGCACTAACCACCTGTTGCTCCTGATGGGCTTTGTCTGTAATGTTACTTTTAATGTTATGGAAACAAACCGTACATGTGACCGTTCTGCCGTGTTTTAATGCGTCTTTCTTCTCTCTGCAGCTCTTATATTCCTCTTTTATCTGGTCTTCTATGGCTTCCTGGCGGGAATGTTCAGTCTCACCATGTGGGTGATGCTACAGACGCTGGATGAGCACACTCCCACATACAGGGACCGAGTGGCCAATCCAGGTGAAAATCCCACAGCCTTAAGACATTATTCTTTGTTAAACCTCTTTGGAACAATATGTACTATGAAAAGAAATTGAAGTGGAAAAACTACAATTTAACACCACAATACGTTTTTCAAACAGTAGTATGCTGCATTGGCCTTGGCATGTTTAGACATTAGACATTGTTTGTCATGTTTGTCAAGTCATGTAGATGTTTCATATATACAGAAAACCCACGTACTGCACATATGTTATAAAGTGCAGGCGAAGAAGCAGTATTATAGTATGCTATGGAAACCTGTTTCTGCCACGGGATACAAAAACAATTTTTTTTTTTTCCTCACAATTCCATTTGTAGTTCTGTTTTTTTTTTTTTTTTTTCTTTCAGCACAATTGCGAGATATAAACTCGGAATTGCGATATAAACATTTGCGAGATATGAACAGAATTGCGATGTAAACACAGAATTGCAAGATATAAACAGAATTGCGAGATATAAACTCGCAAGTGTGAGAAAAAAAGTTAATTGTGAGATAAAAATAGTATGCCATGGAAGACTTGTTTCCACCACAGGACGCAAAAATAAAAAAGTCCGTAGGTGAAAATAAAAAAAATCAAACCGTAGGTGACAATGCACACGATTTATCTACTTGTACACACACCTGCGTCTAATCTGTTAAAGCAAAACTGTCTATTGTCACAGCAAGCCTCACATTAGTGTTCATTTCGTTAACGGAATCTATGACGAAAAATGTTCGTCAACGAAGTTTTTTCCCCTGACGAAAACAAGATGATAAGGTCATTAAACGATAACTGAGACTATATCAACATTAAATATTGTTGATGAAAAAAGACTAGACTAAAATGTAGTTAAAAGAACAAAAACTTTACCAAAAGCTTTTAATTTTTATTATTGCCAAAACATTTCGGACTGCTGTTCAAGACTCTATTACGCGAGTGTTCATGTTTGCGGTTGCCAGATATCAAGAGCTCAAATCCCCCGATAGTGGTTGCAGATTGTAACGTTACTTACGCAACCTCTGTGCAGCAAGTCATGTTGCCATTGTTTTAAAAGAGAAACATTAATGCTATTTGGAATTATTGGGATTACTTTTAGGAATTTCTCTGTTATAATATTTGAGAGTAGGTTTTTGTTACACCAGTTTCATAACGTAGACAATCTTTGGTGTTTATTTAGCCTCTAATTGATATCCTGTTATAAATCTGTACACTAGATGAGGTCAAATAAACCATGCATACGAGTCGATATTCTATTGATTTGTGCTTATTGGTGAAATAGCAACTTCTGCTGAAATGTACAAATAAATTTCCCAAATGACAACAATCATTGCAATTAAAATTGAGCAAAATAATATTTTTTTTATAATTTTAACCATTATACAGTAAGACGGAAATATGACGAAAATGTCTAAGTTTCCACTGACTAAAACTAGACTAAAATGCTCAGACATTTAGTCGACTAAAACAGGACAAGTTGACTAAATATGATAAAAACTAAAAGTTACATTTGACACAAGACTAAGACCGAGACTAAATTAAAAATAGCTGACAAAATGAACACTACCTCACATGTGAAACAACACTACCTCACATGTGAAACGGTTACTCCTATATTTGCTAATTTTGCAATGCATATCTCTGTGAAACCACTATGTTTGTTAAAAGAATTCCTCACTGACTGGCGTATTCAGACACTCCTTTTGTTCTCTTTGCCTTTATGGTTTCTTTTTATACTTGCACATGGATGTAAGACTTTTTAGTGAAGGAAAACTCAGGCACTTTATGGGAATATTGTAGGTGGTTCACTGTACCAAGATGTGCTGTTATAAATATACACATCTCTCTGTGAATGTGTGTACATATAAATGTCTGTGTATGTTATTTATAGTGTAGGCTATTTATAGGTGATTTATAAGTGATGTGATGATCATACTTGAAATGTTTGTGAATGGATTCTCAATGTATTAAATTCAGTCTTCGTGTTCGTAAATTCAAGTACGATTTTAAACTATTTCAAATGAATATATTTGAAATAATATTTAAATGATTTAAAATAAAATATGTCTGACCACATGGTGTGCAGAGAGAATCAGATCAGTACCTGCCTTTAAGATTTATTGATCTGGTTGTGTAGTTACTGGTTCTAAAAGGATTTTTAGGATTTATAAATCCTATATGAACACAATTTTTGATTCGTGTGAATAACATTGAGAGTAACAGGACAGACAGAATGTGCGGTAGTGGTGTCTTGTAGATGATGTGATTTATTCGCCGCTATTTTTACGGTTACCTCCATTGCAATCAGAACACACAGCAGCAGTCTCAGCAGTGTTACACATCATCCATTAGCCTCACACACATATACAGTGGTACACACTGCAGCCCACACACTTGTGTACAGTGGTTGAGATGAGCGCTCCAATTCCTTCCTCTTGCTCGATTATGAGCGCCGTTAAACCCGGCGAAGTGAGACACAGCTCACAGGTCTCTCTCTCTCTCTCTCTCTCCCTCTCTCTCTCTCGCTATCATTCATCCTTCCCTAAGTGTCAATTTATTCCTCCCACTGATCTTTTTTTCTTTCCACCCTCAGCTCCCCCCCTTCCTCAACATCTTTTAGTAACAGAATGTTCTCAGTACAGACCAGGGGTTCTCGATTCTGGCCCTCGAGGTCCAGTTTCCTGCAGAGTTTAGCTCCAACTTTGATCGAGCTCACCTGCCTGTAACTTTCTAGTAATCGTGAAGACCTTGATTAGCTTGTTCAGGTGTGTTTGATTAGGGTTGGAGCGAATCCCTGATCGAGACCCAGAGCCAGACTAGACCTTTCGAGAACCAGATCCAGACCATGAGCTGATGCTCCAAGAACCAGGCAGTCCATTTGAATGATTTGAAATGGAGAACCAAGAAGCTAAGACCCTGAACTCTTGTGAGGTTGAGGTAATGTCACCTTTAGTACAAATGAGACCACAAGACGAGAGCCGCATCCATAAGACTGAGCATTGAGATCCAGACCAAGCCATGTTTATGTGGTTTTGAGAGCTCTCAAGTGCACAAGATCAAGAATCATTATCTATGTATGGGTGGATAAAAATGTTTGCAACATATCATATCTGGAGGATATTCTTAATACAGCCAGATTTGAGATAAAATAAAGACATCTTTACTAACATGGGTGTTTTTGTAACTCTGTTGTTCATCAAGGTCATATTTGGGGCAAGCAACTGCTACACTTAAGAATTTAGGAGGAGGACAATGTGGTGCAGTCAAATATTTTGCAAGAAAACAAGATCACTTAAAATCCATTATATTATGAAAATTATACATTACGTAGAGGCAAAGTCAAATATATCATTTAATTTGCAGCTCTCAATACAAAAACTTCTCAAATAATGCCCTGCCTGTGTAGCCTCTGGTTGGATGTGATCTCCCACTGTTGATGGTTAAATGTACTTGAGTTTGCCTGTTCTCTGTGCAAATTGTTATCAGCTGTATGCTATCACCACCCCACCTGAAAGCTTAGAAATTGAAGTCTTTCTTCAATAGATCAGCTAAAGATCAGCTTCAGCAGTCACGAGTGACTCATTTAAGAAGCCCGTGCAATCAAAAGTGGAGTCTTGTGGTTTCTAGTCAGTGTCTGTTAGTTTTGAGATCATGTGTGTCTGCTAAAACCAACATATTTAAAGTCTTTCTTTTCTGGGAAAATAGACCAGAAACATAGACGTTATGTGCTGCTCAGAGGCATTTACACATTCCTGTCCGATAAAAGACTTGCTCTTTCCTAATTCCACCTACCACTGATTAGCCATAGCAAATCGTGGTTTAGTGGTGTGTATGACAATTGCCTACTTCCTTCTCGGAAGACTGCAAAGAACACCTCTTGAAGTCAGAATTCCGACTTGAGTACTTTTGCGGAAGTCCACAACTGCAATTTTGCAGAGATAAGCAGCACCCAAGTATACGTGGCTAATGATAAACACAAGTCAAAATTCCTCTATTACATGTCCTACGCCTGAATATTGATACTCCTATAATGTGGCGATTGAAAAACGGTACGTAAAATGAGTAGTATGTCTAACAGTAGACGAAACATACCCGGATGACCTACTGCTGAAGATTCTGAAGTGCACATCTCATGAGGTCACGGGAGAGGAGTTGTGAATGGCAGTGAAGTGCAGTGAAACCGATGCCGTAGGTCACATGAGAAAGCCATCACGGCGTCCTCTGCAGTCCGGCTGCTAGCAGATAAAAGACTTGCTCTTTCCTAATTCCACCTACCACTGATTAGCCATAGCAAATCGTGGTTTAGTGGTGTGTATGACAATTGCCTACTTCCTTCTCGGAAGACTGCAAAGAACACCTCTTGAAGTCAGAATTCCGACTTGAGTACTTTTGCGGAAGTCCACAACTGCAATTTTGCAGAGATAAGCAGCACCCAAGTATACGTGGCTAATGATAAACACAAGTCAAAATTCCTCTATTACATGTCCTACGCCTGAATATTGATACTCCTATAATGTGGCGATTGAAAAACGGTACGTAAAATGAGTAGTATGTCTAACAGTAGACGAAAGATACCCGGATGACCTACTGCTGAAGATTCTGAAGTGCACATCGCATGAGGTCACGGGAGAGGAGTTGTGAATGGCAGTAAAGTGCAGTGAAACCGATGCCGTAGGTCACATGAGAAAGCCATCACGGCGTCCTCTGCAGTCCGGCTGCTAGCAGGCTACTTTGTTGACAATTCTTTTTGTCATCCTCCCTCCTCAAGATCCAATGTCCCAATTCTGAATTCAAACGGAACGAAGATTTTAAACTAAAACGATTAGTTATTTAAAGAGCAGTACAAACTTTTGATATGTCCTGCCTCTACAACAAAATGAAATGCTCCAACACAGGAATGTTGTGCTTCTCAAATCAAATTGTGAGGTCTTTAAGCTCTTGCTTATTTGAAGCTTTCAAAGACTTCCAAAATGGCCACACTTGTAGATAGGGCTGGGACAATAAATCGATGCATCGCGAATCAAGAAATGATTCTGTATCGATTCTGAGATTTTCCGAAGGCATCGTGATTCTCTCTTGAATCGATTCTGAGCTTAGTTTTTAACAGCAGATGGCACTGCGTCCTTTAGAAATAGCCGTATTCTGCTTGCTTCCAGTTCCTTACACATGCACCATTTAAACCTAAAATAATCATTCATAAAGTTCGAAAAGGTTGAAGCGAATTACAAGTATGTTCACAGTGGGCTGTGTTTACATTAATCTTGCATCATAAAAGCATAAAAGCCAATGTGCAAGTACATTTACCCACTTACATTACTCAGCCGAATGCACAAGCGCTTTTCTTCGTGAGCATTTGAGTGTGAGGTTAAAAACTAGCCTAGAGCGCCATCAGCTGTTAAAAACTAAGCTCAGAATCGATTCGAGAGAGAATCACGATGCATTCCGAAAATCTCAGAATCGATCCACGAAACTCAATGCATCGGTTTATTGTCCCAGCCCTACATGTAAGACAAGAAAAACATCTCCCAACCACACAGTTGTCAAACTGCTGCTGAAGATTTCCAGCTTAGCACCTTGATCTCACTATCTATTCTCTCTCATTTGCTACTTCAGCGTACAATGACTCTCTGCAGGAGGCGAACAAGCCCTGTCCCGATGGTATGTACTTTGAGCAAGACGATGTTGAGGAGAAGAAGGCTTGCCAGTTCAAGAGAAGTGACCAGTTGCATCTTAGAAATGTAACTTGTTTTTAAATTTAGAAGGATGTTTGTTCATTGCATATACTCCTTTGCAGGTGATTGGGCTTAGGCCACGAGGAGACCCACATATCAACTGCATAGTCAAGGTAATTCACAAATCACACTTTGTGTTACTAGCTTCAGAGTGTTCGATGTCAGGATCGAGTGTGACATGATGGAGCGAGTCTGAATTAATGTGCGTGTCACTGTTTTTACGCTCTTCCCAGTCAAAGTTAGCTGTTAGCTTATGTTCTTCAGACAAATTGAGCCACAGTGCTTATGCAAGGACGCAAAACTTCCAATCCGGCATGCATTGTGCTCCAGTTGCATCTTAGAAATGTAACTTGTTTTTAAATTTAGAAGGATGTTTGTTCATTGCATATACTCCTTTGCAGGTGATTGGGCTTAACTATGGATGTGCATCACTGCGTGTTCATTATTAAGCATAGTGAAGAAGCTTCCAGTCTTGGCAAATGTTTTCTTTTAACGCTGACCTAGTGGTCAGATTTATAAAAACCTTTGATGTGATGTAATGGTGGCATGTTGGGTAGTCTTGCATAGCCATACTTCAGACAAGGAGGGTCCAGT